CAGAGAGATTTGACTGCACAGAGACCATACATAATAAATCAATTGCTTGCAGACTCATATCAAAACCCTATCAGTGAGTGGCAAGTAACAATTAACCTGCATCTGGTAGCTGGCTTTACAGTAGCAACACACTTCGGGTGTCACTGTCTCCCATCCCCCCAGATGAGACTATCTAATTGCAGAAAAACAAGCTCAGGCTCCTACTAATTCTTCATTATGGTGGACTATATAATTATTTCCTTACATATTACACTGTAATAATTAGAAATAAAGTACACAATAAATGTAATGTGTTTCAATCATCCTAAAACCATCCCTCCTACCTCCCTGGTCTGTGGAAAAACTGTCTTCCATGAAAGCCGTCCCTAATGCCAAAAAGGTTGGGGACCACTGCTATAAAGTAGGGAGACTTAAGCCCTAAGTCTTAATTTAAATTCTGACTTTAAGATACAGATACTTCTTCTTCCATTATGGTTAAATGGAATATTTTACAAAAGTTTACACCTCAGTAATTTTACTTAATAAAAAATACAATCACTATTATCCACCATAGCTGATTACTTACTAACACATCTGGAATTTCTTCAAAGCACAAACATCATCGCCCTACGTAACAACAAAGGGAACAGTTTTCTAGCATTCAGACACCATCTTACCGAATGTTTATGCTTTGCTTTCTAGCAAAATTCTTCACCATGAGCCATATTACCTGCTGCATTTAGTCCTGCTTTTTAAAATGAATTGGTCTTGTATCCCCTGTCATATCTCTCAGGCCTCTGAAGTCAGAGAACTACATATTACAAACTCCTTTATATTGCCATAATGCCCTTATAGTAAGGCAATCAATAAACAGGTGACTAAACGACATGGTTATATCCTCAACTTCACTGCAAAAGTTAAAAATGGTAACTTGCACCCAGTACAATTCAGTGCTTATTCATAATTTATAAAAAAGAAACTTTAGCAATGTTAATAAATGTACATCCTGGCTCAGCGCCTGTAGCTCAAGCAGCTAAGGCGTCAGCTACATACACCAGAGCTGGCAGGTTTGAATCCAGCCCGGGCCTGCCAAAACAACAATGACAACTACAACCAAAAAATAGCCAGGCAGCGCCTGTGGCTCAAAGAAGCAGGGCGCTGGCCCTATATGCCAGGCATAGTGGGTTCAAACCCAACCCCAGCCAAAAACTGCAAAAAAAAAAAAAAAAAAAGCCAG